CCCCGCCATTTTTCATTAGGAAAGCGATGAAATAGAAGTTTCATTTTTATCGGTGTTGTAGCTGAGATTTCAACGATTAAAATGCGCTTTTAAACATCCGAATACGCGTACGCTAAGGGGTGTAATTATCCGTTTGAAAAGACGCCTAAATTTTGCGAGTTCCGCTCGAGGCGCGCGTGGTAGGGTAGTGGTAGGGTGACGGGAAGGAAATTTCCTAAAAAATATGTCTTTGGTTTTCCGAAATTTGTCATACCTTCACAGATATGTACAAAAATTCAAGTGTTACACTTCAATTGGACGTTACTGTATACCAAACTTCTGCCTCGCGACGTCGAAATACCCCACAAGATAATAATAAAAAAGCATGACAACTGTAGGGTCTCTTTTTTCTTCTAATCCTTCATTATCTATTTTCCTTCGTGTCCCAACATTTCACAGGATATCGTATCCCACCAGCTGATAACGAACCTCAGTAATGTTTAACGTCGGCCCGTCTCACACCCCTGTAACAGTATAATAACAGTAAAGAATTGACTTTACTACGCACTGTGTATAATCAAGATTCAATAGACAGAAGCCTGTAATACTGTAACGACTGGTTATCAAACCTTACCTGTTATGATTATTTGTCGTAGACATGTCATTTAATTAAACCCATCCGTCTTCCTCTCCCTCGTTCGTGGCAGTACTGAATAATTTTGTATTAAAGGCAACCGCCAACGTGCTCCCTACCGTGAAATATACCTCTATGTAGGATATCTAATATCCGGCACGGATTTACAAATCCTTAATTTTAGCTGGCTCCTGCTCTCACGTCGGCGAGATTGAATGCTGCCGTGTTACGTTATTGTCAACCGGATTACGAAGATGACAATGGTTACTGCGTTGTGCGCTTTACTGGATTTTACGAGTAGTCAGGGTTCAACGTTGACTGTATATTCTTTCCTGTCTGTGAAATAACGACTGCTCGTTTTCCTCAAGTCATTAAAGTAGCTCGTAACTATTAATATTACGTCACGGCATACATAACGATAGTCTATAGCCTTAAATCGTACAGCTGTCAAATAGGTTATGAATTCTCCAACTCTCGTGCTATAATAGAATTTAAAAGTTATCTCGTATGTACTACTAACAACGCTGAACTTGTAAGAAACTCAAAACGTCAATTTATAGTCAAGTTGGCTTAAATTTTTTCCACGTGGCTAATTGCCATGATCCATAGCTTCAGGTTGCCTCTAACTTGGAAAATCGTCTTCGCGAAAACCCTTCTGGTAGTAACATAAGCCTTCCCAGGATTATCCTTAGACGATAACGTCAATTAAATATAGATAAACTCGTTGAAGTAAATTCTAAAATATTTTCACGAATCTCATCAGGGTCGCCACAGCCTGAAAATTTTCACGAGTTCGTTGCGTTCTTTGAAACCTGTCAACATCGATAATCAAATAATTTAAATAAAACGATAATCAGTTATCTGTTATTTACACGTACACTCTTTATTTACCCAGTGCACATAATTACAGAAAATATTAATTCTAACCTTTCAGTAAATAATGTTTTAAACACTCTCTTGACTAGACTCTTCTAGCATAGGATACCAGACGCGTCTCTTCGTGTGTCGTTCTTGTTAGGTTGACAGGGATTGTTCGTCTGTACGACTGCACGCGTAAAGGTTATGTGTACTTGAAACTGTTTTTCCTTCTATTTGTAGATCGTATCTGGTAGGTATTAGGTAATAATTGACAAGGTAGATGTACACGTGGTAGTGTCGATACGTTTCATGGGAAATAAAGACATTTGCCGCAAGCACGTGTCGACACTAGTGCTTCTAGTCAGGCGACGTCTGGACGAGAGTAGCTATCGCAGCGCCATCTTCACAGGAAGCTTCTACAACAGTCGATTCAACTGAATTTCATGTCGGCACAACGTACGTATACACAAATATATACCTTTTGCAAATTGTTACGGAATAATTTGAAAATTTGAAGGCAAACAATTTACGCTGTTTCGAAACACCTGTTTCAAATTACATTAGAATGGAAATTACAGTACAGCAGCATGAGCTGCTATTATTTTACACGGCTTTTGGAACTCAAACAATTCTGACAACCGCAAATTGGAATAATCTGTGTCCATTAAATTACAATGTTAGCGGCACCTATTAATTCATTCCGATGTAAGATTATACCGTGAAGGTAATGCATGCGTAATATTTTCCACAGTAAAATAGAAATACGTAAATCATAAGCGCGTATGCAAGCAATAAGAATAAATGCAAAGTCTGTAAGGATTATGAAATTAATCTAGCAGATAAGACTAACGGCGTAACTATAAACTAAAATACTTGCGTCTGTATCCTAAGACCGTAAAAGAGTCTCGATATTTTCTGCGGATATAAAGCTCTGAGTGAAGGTGGGGTATGACGCTATTCACGTTTTAAGATACGAGATAGGGAAAAAGCAGCAACTCCATAGAATGAGGTTAGAATCCATTCAGACCTTCACGAGGGTCTAACCATTCGAGGGAGGCTGGCGAAGAAATAAACCACAAAGTTTTTTCATCTCTTCTTGAAAATAAAGTAAAAAAGTCCAGCTTAGGTCTCTGGAAAGAAGTCGAAAAGTATCTCGCCATCAAATACAATATTTTGAAGTGTTACAAAATATAAGTACAGACAACTTCAACCCAATATATAGTATTGGCATAACGTTCTTTACTCGGCATTCCATAATAACACAATAAAATTCTGCATTCATTACACTTATCAGCCGATAACAAAATTTGTAGCGGATTTACCGTGTAGTTTTTAGATATAAAAGAAGTGTCAATTTTCAGTATACAGATATACTCGACCTATAAAAATGAATAACTTAAAAATGTAATATCTCCATTTTCGTACTGTAGAATTTAATTACTTTTGGCTCAAATGTCGAGGTTATCCTACGTTATCACTTATTTATTTTTCATCCATAAATTTGTGAATTTTTTTACTGCCTCTTTAACACGTGCCTCCCTATTACTATTACGATTATAATAATCGAACCACCTTAAAGGAATAAACTATTTATGTAGCCTTGACATGAGATTTACTTAACACTCCACGAGAGTGGAGGAAGAGTATGAATTATAGGTGTATCAAACGTACTATAACTATATAGATAACAGAGTCCTCCATGCAAATGCGTCTACGCAGTTACATATAGACACAAATCGTCCGTATCTCTGCTTTATACGAATCAGTCTAATCGGTCAAGTTGAATCAGCAGCCTTGCCAATAGTTAATCGCGATAGCGGGTCAAGGTTATCTGTTCTGGATAATCATCAATCCGCTTCACTTATATCTCTATATATCACTGAAGTAAACGATTAATAAAGACAGTAAAGGGTCGAGGCCAAATCACACGCATTTGTGCACGTATCCACATACCGTAGGTATACGCGCGTAGAACAATAGGAGGTCTGTTCTATTCGTTCTAGCGCAGACGAGTAGACTGAGCCGTTCGACATGTTCCAAAACAACTTTTATATCTCCGTCAATTTTACGAGTTTTAATATTCTTAAAAGTACGTACTTTAAGAATATGTAAAAAAGGAATAGATTTTTTTTCGACCCTTCACCCTGGTGCTCCGCCACAATATTATTTTCACTTGTCAATTACAATTTGCCTAAATTATTTGATCAGTTGACTATGGTTGACTACTACGTGCGTACGCACACAGATCCTATATCTAACCTAGCACTCTATCGGCGTCGCCAATTTTTACCACGAGACGCTTCCCGCTGGATTGTTTATCTGCACGTGCACGCTAAGTACATGCTTAAACATTAATCTTTCCGAATATTATTTATCGCACAGTTGACTCGGGCGTGGTACTATCAACCAATTATAACCAAGACGATAGGAACTATACTGTGTAGCTAAGATTTCACGTAAATTGGAGTCTACGTGGAAGAGTGTAATTCAAGTGGATTAAACTTGGGAATCTTTGGTGAGTCAGCGAAGAAACCACGTAAATTTTAAAGCGACCAATAAACGTACCGGCTGTTTGTTAATACTTTTATCCCTACCCTAATGCCGTATATCCCACAATGCCTTTTGTTCTTAGTAGGCCTAATTATTTTGAATCCCAATTGTAACTGGGATAACTATGAGACTTAAGCTTTTTTTATTTATACAATGTACACTGCATACGTAGCACTATGTACTAATTGATAGTACCCGCGATGCTTTTATTGTTAAATAATATAATTACGATTTAATATCTTCGATCTCCGCTGCTGTTAATCTCGTTCGTTAATATAATCAATTTTGATGCCAGAATTGTTAGGTTAGAATTTTCGGCGCGCGCTGCGTTTCCCTTGTTGAATAATATAATCATGATTTACTTTGACAGATCTCCGCTATTGTTAGCCTAACCTAATCAAACACGTTTCAGTTGCTTATAAGAGCGCGTCGCTATGAATCTTTCACTCAGTTCGTTCGTTGTACTCGGCCTACGGACAGCTCGTTAGATCATTACGATTTTAGAAAGAGAATCGAGCGAGACTGTCAAAGACGATACGAATGAAAATCGAAGAGAACTTGTAAAGGGGATATTGATATATTGATTTTAGAGAGGTAGATGCAAAGAGATAGCAATTTCAGAGACGCAAAGAGTTACTTAACTTGAAACCGGTTATACAGCTAGTTCTTGTCGTTTTTATACGTTAAGAATTTTCCTCCTTGCTCAGTGTCTCGTGATCTTTGGGATCTACATGATTCTTCCTTACGTCTTTGTAACCTTACAGTCTGGTGTAACGTTGAAATACAAGAATTCGAAAGGGATCGTAAGGCACGGAAGTTTTGGCCATTTTTCGACTTCTCGTGAATAACTTTGAATCCAAGTGAGAGCGCGGAAGTGTGGAATTGTAAAAAAAAGTGTGAACAAATCGAAAAAATAAAAACTTTGCCTTTAAAACTATAGTGGACATGATAAAGAATCGTAATTACCACAGACAATTAATCCACGAGATATAATTAATTTGATAAACAATTAATGAAGTAATCGAGAGATTAAGGACGTTTTTTGTTTTGAAAGTGTTTCGTACCAGACATGGCGCCAGATACTAGGTGAGTCTGTTAAATTTTTAAAAATTTACTTTTACTTATTTATTAATTTTAAATGTTCATTGACAATTCGAAAACGATATTCAATTTTTCGTATTAGGCAAGAGAATCAGCCGATCCTGAGCTACGTGTCATCCCCGACGAAAATAAAGACAGCGAAAGCCAAGGATGCTGCCGAGATAAACAAGAACAACAACAACAACAATTACGAAACAAAGACCGTATTGAGACAATATTTCTCGAATAGTAACGGAGTGTTGGCCCAGGTGAGAGAAATAATAAATTAACACATAAAATCAATCATGTCAAACTTTTTAATTAATCCCTCCTTTTTATCTCTGTTCGTTAATATTTCTTTTTTTCCAATAATTTTATATCTTTGATACACGTGATCTGTCCAATCTCATCCTCTCCGTAGGGCCTAATGCATTTTTGCTTGAGGACACCTCGAGTCCCTCAAAGCCAGGCAGACACCCTATCACTATTTCTTGCAGGCGAGCAATTTTCCACAAAGCGAACGGATAAACCCCTCATTTATATCCCCTGGATCTGCCTGATAAAGTCTAGCATCAATTACCACTTCTTGTGCAAGCCTACAAGCATCCCCAGAAACGCCAATAAACAAAGTAATGGTCGCTCCGGCAATAATATGGAAGTTGGAAAACAAAGTGATCACCAGAGACAATATGGAAACAGTCGGACATTGGGAAATTACGAAAATTTCATTCCCTGAGGATTTCGATAATTTTCGATGGTATAACTATATCTATATAATCTTCTAAAAGCATTGAGACAATTATTATCATTATAATCTATAGAAAGAAGACAATTACATTTATAGATACCAAAGTCACCATGTTATCGTTAAATACATTTTTATCTGTAAGAGCATCAGTCGCTATCACGTAATTATATTTATATTTAATTATCTGTCTTTGACAAAGATATGTCTGACTGTCAGCAGAGATTTTGTACCAAGATCATTTACACCCACATGGGATGGCATTCAATCTGGCTCAACCTCGGGTCACTATACCATCCTGATCGTTAGACTTTATTGTCCCGTTCAATCTAAGCTCTCCCTTACATTTCCTTCTTATCCATCCTATCTTATCTTTCAGACTACGTTTTACTTTACAAGGACCGCAGCCCCTAAGGATAACCGAGCTATCTACCTAGAGTCTATAAGGATCCCACAGAATTGTTCCTGCGTCATTACACATTTTGTTTTGCCAGTCTTATTTTTATTGTAACTTACAGTGCCTGGTCACCGGATCTATATTGATCCTCACCGCTGGTGCCGGGATGCCCATCGGCTACAGCGCGGTATTGCTACCCCAATTGGCTGAAAACAATGGAACCCTGCACGCTGACAGTGAATTGGGCTCCTGGATCGGTGAGTCGAAACTTTTCTCTTTCTAACGGATCTTCTCTCGCTTGGATTCTCTTCCGCGTGGATCAATTTATTAGCTTGTAAAAGTGTCTGCTTCGCAGCATATAGATATAGCGAGAGGATACGAGAGACAGATGGTGATATCAGCAAAACGAAACGGAGAGGTTGCTAGGGGAAAGGTAGGATCAATTTAGAAAGTTCAAGGGCGATTCGAGGGCCTCCTCTAAGTGTTTGAACTTTGTAGTATATATGTATATAGGTATAAGCGTCTCGCCTGGTCAACGTCAAACGATGCGACTACTACAGGCAAATTGCAAATTGTAGTGTGTAACTGACCTAGATATTTTTTTATTGGATAATTTCGTCTGGCAGTCAGAACTGTAGCAAGTACAGCGCGATTCATTCAAAACGTTTCAAAGATGTTCTCCTAGATGGCGCTGATCGACGGGAACTTCTTAACGGCCAATAGGCGCTCTCGATGGTTTTTGAATTTTTTTTTGAATTTTTTTTTGATTCGTTCCCTTTTATTTTCGAGAACTCTGTTCTTACGGCTCATGGAAATTGTCGGATATTCCTCGTCTCGAGCATAGTAAAGTCCTTGCAGATATCTATTGCCTGGTAAAGCACGATTCTTTTTCAAGAATGTCGAATGTATTTTAATGCGTCACGGTTACGTGACTTGTTCGAATTATTTGTTGTGAAATTTCCTCAGAAGAAAGAAACAGAGTGATACGTACGAGTATAACAATAGAGGAAGGAGCCTTGACGTGTGCGAGATGAATGTTAATTCCGTTATCTCGATATGCTATGCGCTTCGTATTCCTTGAGAGAATTAAAATCGATTTTGACAATTTATGACGCTCGCTCTGATAAAAGCTTTCGCATCCGAGTGTTCGGCGAGCTTTCCAATTTGCATTCGGAATTTATGACGTCGACCCGCGTCATTTTTATGCCGGCGCGTATGCTGGACGTTCTTGGACTAACGAGATGATTTCAGTCGTAAAATTTCTAATAATAACTATTCAGCTAGCCAGCTGTAGGTAAAATGACTTTGTTGTTAGATATGAAATTCAAATTTGCCGCCTTTTCTATCCTTCGAAATTACACGGATCCACATCGGACGTGATGATCCTAACCTATTTCCTTTTTCGTTTCGTACCTGTACGTAGGCCTTCCTCTTATTCTTCGTACACGTTAGATGTATTAAATACGTTGTTAGATATATTTCAGGCACTCTAAACTCTCCCTTGAGAAGTGGACTTGACAAAATCATAATGAATTATACATGACAATTGTCTAAGGACGAACTGCCGGCCAAATCAATTTGGCATTGACCCAAATTCCACATAGTCAGTCCATTTGTTTTTATCTCCAACGCGTTGGCCTTACGCGTCTCCGCATCGCGGAGAAAGAACATTTCGGAATCTATAAGTGTACACGTTCACTCGTACGAAAGGAAAATTTTCATTTTCAATGAATTCACATGATACTTTCACTTTTTTTTTCCTCTCGTCCATTCCTTTTTCATATTTGCAAAATTTCGCTTTATACAAATATAACATAACCTAATTTTATTTCCGCGCAAGACATTCGCAATCTTCCGAAAGTCATGCACTGGGAGAATACAAACAAGCGCCGCGTATAGCGAGCATGAAATTTTACGTGGGTCAGACGACGGAAGCGCCATCTGGCATGTGGACCTAGAGGGACAAAAAAATAAATGAAATTGTTGAAAACGGAGCAAAAAATTGTCAACAAACGTATCGCGTATTCTTATTATAGCTGTATCTTTAGATTTGAATATACATAATACACATAACATGTACACGAAGAAAAGTATCTGGTAAGAAGGATTATATATCTGGTAGAAACTATCATAATTTTCTGGCACATGTGAACTACAGCTAAGTTCTGGCAAATAATCTTATATAAAATAAAACCAACTCTAGTAAATGATATCGTGCACAATGGCTGAATCCAAATTCTCTTTTATTCTTCAGGACACCTCAGTAATACGGCGTGTGGGTATTAAGCGAATTAACGTATGGAATAAATTTATTATGTATCTGGGTCACTACACGTGGACAATTGATAATAACATAACGGATAATGTTTAAGCATATAAATGGGATCTGTCTCTTCATCCTGATTCTTTGAGATTAGACCCTGACCCACTGAGCGTCCATTTTCGCCAAGACAATTTGATCATTTGCTGTGTGCCCCATGCTCAATGGACTTTTATTTATTGCCTTGCGCCGCGGTTCTTCTTCTTACTTTTTTTCATGGTCGTCTAGTCCGATTGGACTTAACCTGCGTTTCTTCTTGAAACATGTGTGGATCGCTAATCAAAATTGCCAATATAACTGAGACGAGGTCGTACGTCAAATAAATAAAAAGCCCATGTGATGTTTGTTTATCTAATTTATTTATAGGTCATATATATATATATATATATAT